GGCGAAAACTATGACCACAGAGAAGCGTAACGACAATCTTCACAAGGCTTCCTCCATTTTGTCTGTTGGCGCGATTTTGTTGACGATCGCGCTGTTTGTAAGAATTGAGACAGTCGTCCATGATACGAAAATAATGGACTCAAAATTCACACTGGAAATTCAACAAATCAAAGATGCTCTGAAAGAGGAGAAAGATACTCGCCAAGCTCGAGTGAAAGAGAACTTTGATGCGCTCAGTGGTAAGTGATGTTGGAATAAGATTTCTTTGTTTCAATTCTATAGACTTCCTTGACCATCAAAATGGTAGTCTTTCATGTTTTGATGAAAATAATGCAATAAGGTAATATGCCCAAGTGATTTAGTTCGATATGGCTTTTGAAGAAAAGGGTTTCAATGTCCAGTAAACTTAATCGGCCGGCAATTCGAGCAACTTTCCGTGAATTGAGACGAATTGGTATTCGATTTAATTTAGAGCGGTTTTCAATTGAGTGTCGGAAAACCAAAACCAAACCAATTACTTACCAATTAGACTACTCAGCCAATCTCAAGCCGTAGTAAAACCAAAACCAAAACCAAAGTAATTGTCTAATTACTTTCGACACTCAAATGAGAACCGCTCTAATAAACTTCAATCAATTTATCCCTTGCCAGTGCTGGGACACCTCATTAGAATTTCCTTGCCACTACGGAGATACATCGCTTCATTTACCGGCCTCAACATTTTCGTACGTTTTACTGGAATTATCGTTACAGTATTCCCTGTAGCTATAAATTACTGGAACCAATCAACAGAACTCCTTTCGTTTTCCGTCACAAACTATATTACTATATTAATTATTATTACTATGTTACTATATTATCATGAGGCTCATATGATATGTTTGGGAGCAACTCTACTCGAACGAGTCTGACACATGGAAGACGATCTTGGAATTCACTGAGCTACTAGGCAAGATATTTGGCGAATTATCCGTTACTTCTTATCTTCGACACAAGCCATGCAAACACTAGGTGGTTAAATTGTCATCTATTAGATGAGTCAGTAACATTATGGCATACCACCAAACGGTTTCATTTCATTACATGTAGCTCTTTCTGGTCATCATCATTATGATCACTCTCTATTGAATTAAGATTTTCTTTTATCATCCAAGGCAAGAGATTTAAAGCGAATGAATGTACTTTAATTAGAGACATTCCGGGCTTTCCGCGAAATGCCAGAGACATGCCAACGACTAGTGACCCGGCTAGTATTTTTTCATAATCCAGCGGCTCTAATCATTAATAGGGATTTTCCGAGTTGTGTCTTTTTCTTCGGTGTCAAATCTTCATGTGAAAACCATTCATGTGAAAATGAGTTCCCCTACAGATATATTTTCATGCAAACAAACTGATGTTCATATGAAATATTTAAATCGCACGAGGGTTCGTTTCGAAACAGAAGCACAACGTAACACGGAAATGGCCTATTAACCTCGATCCCCACACGTTGATTGCCAAACACGTTTAGTGGTTACTCAAGTTGATGATGCGCTTTGTTCTCCTAACTTGTCTGTTATCTCTGCATTGTTATTGCAAAGAGAATCTAAGACTCGATTAATCGAAAAGTTTCAAAACAGAAGAAAACGGAATTTTATCACGTCATGTAGAGATTGTACAAAATGTTAATCACTCCCTAAATTTTCCTAGGCGTAAAATACACGGCTAAAATTGTCCGTCGCAGCTTGAAAACGAACCGCAGCGATTCTGATCTAGACGAAGCCGGCGCTGGTCTAAAGAGATACGTGAAGTTGATTGTTGCGGAGTCTGTAGAGTCTTACTGCCTCGCTCCAAATAAAATGTGCCTAGCTGGGCCCCCCGGACCAAAAGGAAATCAAGGGAGTCGTGGTAAACGAGGGTCCAAAGGAACTAAGGGTAAAAAAGGAACGAAAGGTATAATGGGAATGCCAGGTGAACCGGGTAAACAAGGAATCAAGGGAGATCTTGGAACCCCTGGAATCAAAGGAGAGAAAGGTAATCGTGTTTTAACTGAATTGCGTGATTTTCAATTCGTCTCGGGGAGAATGGGGTTATATGTTTGTGTAAAATAGTTAAAAAGTGGACGGGTTTTTTTGTTATTTGCATTTCACGATGAAATGTATACATCAAATTGTTGGCGTGAATTATTCTCTTTAATAAACGCACTATTTACGAAGTAAAATAAGTGGAAAGCGCAAACGCAGTGAAGTTTTTGGTTCTTAATTTTTAACGTGGCGGAAAATTTCTAATCCAGATTAATAGCTGATATTTAGCCATTTGATAAACGTTTCGATTTCTATATACAATGTTAACCTTAAATGACTCAAGTACAATAATACCTGTGACACGTAAAAAATCAAATCCAGTCAGTCGTTATCATTGCTAAAACCTTGTCGTTTTTACTATTGCTTTTACTTGCTTTGTTTCATTAAAGGTGACGTGGGAATTCCGGGACATCCGGGACCTAAAGGTGATGCAGGGGAGTCAATATCTGTTCCAGAAGTGATTGTATCTCCTGCCTCACTTACTGTAACTCAGAACCAGACAGCCACGTTTTACTGCTCAGCTGATGGTAATCCAGAGCCTAGCGTATCCTGGAGTAAACTAAGTGGAACAGGACTGGTGAATACGGACGGTCAAGGCAATAAGCTACAGATGAAGAGTGCTGGTTACAATGACTCGGGGAGTTATGCTTGCACGGCTGCAAATGTCTTGGGAGAAGTAAAGAAGGTGGTGAAACTTTTCGTTGAAGGTAAGATGTTTGGGAGGTAAAAAACAAACATGGAGCCTAACAAACAAATCGAATCGCAAATCAATGCTTGTTTTTGAAACAAGTATCGTATCGAGTGACCGGACGGATACGCACTCGGATTCGCACAAAAAAATTAACAAGACCATCAGCAGCTATCATTTGTGCAACCTTTAGTGGTGAAAATGTTGCCAAGCCTTCGATCTGATGGTAAATGAGGGCATCCAAAATAAAAGCAGTTCATCATGTACATAATCAGCAAATAGCTCTGTACTCAAATAAATCCAAATGCTGCCGTTGAACGTAAGAATGTCAATGGCTGTTTTGATTTCACAAAGTGACCAGCTCCCAATTGGCTTAATAGCTCAGTTGGTAGAGCACTGCACCAGCATCGCAGAGGTCAAGGGTTCGAATCCCGTTCGGGCCTGAATAGTTTTCAGGCTTTAATTTCACAACTGCTTAAGTTTTGTGCAAACTGCTATGATCAATCATGTCTTCGTGTTCTGCTATTGTTGTTGTCGCCGCCGTTGTTATTATTGTTTTTAATATACATATGTCTGGACTTATGAAAACCGTGCTAATTTCAACACAACCACCCTGACACTTTTCCAAGAAAATACACAGGCTTTTTCACTCAATCATCCACAAGCAGTCTGTCAACACAGAGCATACTGACCCATCTTGCATGTGTCTGGCTGGCTGGCTGCAGACCGCTAAGGCTGCAGGGCATTGCTGGCCAAGGCTGTCCTGCAAAGAAAATGAGCAGTTTAAGTGAAGAAAATGTCTCTCTCTGTGACCCAACCCAACCCCCCTGGGGTTAGAGCCTGGCGGCCCCGCTGGTAGCCAGGCACCAGGGCCGTCTTCCCCAACCCTTCTTGACGGAAGCTCCCCTGGCTTTTCGAGCACCGCAAAGGCCTCCCTACCGACTATCGCCGGCAGGCAAGCGCGAAAGTTTTGCTCCAAATTTGACGCGGTTTTCATAAATTCAGACATACATGTATATGTTGAATTTCCTCTCCATTGCACGAGTCCTTACTTATTTTGTACTCATTCCAAGTAAGCTAACAATTATTCCGCGAGCGTGCGTTGGATATTACGGGATAAATAACCAACGAAGCGGACAAATGCGTTTATAACTAAATTAATTAAGACCTTTTGATAGGCAAATTTGATGATTTTGACCACCTTTAAAAAAAACTTGTCGGGATTCTGTTACATCAAATACGGTCACCAGTGTGCTTTAAGAGAGATCGAAGGGAAAGAGTAGAAAGTAGACCTAAAGCTAAATATTGCATTGCACCGCATGGTCATGGTTACTGCAAGGCTTGTACATATTGAACTAAAATGTCTGGTATGATAGTTGCTTTTGTTTCTTTGTGTTATCAATTCAGTTCCTCCACAGTTCATTGAGACTCCTGACAGAGTTATAAAAGTAACAGCAAATTCACTTGCTTCGGTTTCCTGCCGAGCCTTTGGTTTTCCGCCGCCAACAATTGTTTGGTCAAGAGGACTTGTGCCGTTACCGGGAGGTCGGACCGCTGTTGCCAATGGTACACTGAATATCTCCAACTTTGGTCCTCAAGACGTTGGAACTTATCTGTGTAAAGCTACCAACAAGCTGGGATCCGTTGAGGCATTGACAACCTTACGTTATGTTCAGCCAGGTGTGAACTAATTAAAGATAGTGTTTACAGCTCCTAGGCCTTACACAAGTCGATTTTTGGCTCACAATTTTTCCTCGTGAAAATTGTCTTTAAGAAATTGCTGTATTAATTTTCTCTTCCTCGTTTAGCAGCAGAGTAACCTTGGCTAGCTTAAGTGTCAATACTTCCTGTGATCTTTCCAACAAATTATTTAACTACATGTACAGCACTAAGTTATTTTTGTACTCGAAAGGTGTGTTTCTACATTATCCATGCATCAAATGGAAGAATCTACATTCTGAAAATGATTTATTTTCAGGATTCTGGATGGACTCCGCTATCTTAACAGACAATGCATTTTATCAAACTCGCCTTTATGAGTTCCTGTCGCCTGCTATTGGAAGCAACCCTCAGTGGGTGCTGTGTTACCGCGCCTCCACTCACGGCTGGAGTATCAGTACATTCCACAGCAAGTGTGATGGGAAGCGTGACACGGTAACCATCATCAAAAAGGGACAGTACGTTTTTGGAGGATACACTGATATATCTTGGGGTAAATGATATCCTTAGTTTCTGCATTCCTTTCTACTTTACCGGACCATTCTGTAGTAGTGCACTCTTTGTCATTCCAATTCGGTGCCAGAGAGAATAACAGTACGAAAACACCATTTCCAGATGAATTTCAATGCCATAATTATAAGCAATACGAAATTGAAGTTTCTTTTACAATTTGGTCGAGTTTTCATGTTTAAACTGAAATTCTCATTCCGCTTTAAACTTGTGTTTTCTTTAGAGTCCAGTGGTGGTTATAGCTCGACTTCCAATGCCTTCATATTTTCACTCCGCAACAAAGAGGGTCTTGGACCATTTAAGAGCATGGTCACAAGGGCTTCTCGTGCTATTGAAAGGACCACAGTTCATGGCCCAACATTTGGAGGAGGACATGACATCTGCATCAATGACTATGCAAACAGTAACAGTAACTCCTACACCAACTTTGGTGACTCTTACTCCGTTCCAAGTGGAGTACAAGATAGGAAAACAATCCTGGCTGGGTCTTACAAATTCACACCTGTTGAGGTAGAAGTATTCTATCTTGGCTGAATGAGAAAATCATCAAACTTTTTTGCGCAACACATTGAAGCACGTTCAATGTCGCGCACAGCACGCACATGTTACGCACCTTTTGCCACTCCACTGCTCGGTGATTGGCTCTTAGTGGTGGAAAAACTTGTGCAAACTTAAAAAAATACTGAAGGGTCCAGTCTGTTAACTCTGTTTATTGTCTTACAGCACTCGTAAAGCGACGAAAATAATTTTCTTTAAGGAACTTTAGACCTTCTTCGGAGGACATAATCTCGCCCAATACGTCCAAGGGCACATTTAAAAGCTCTACGTTGTACTTTCTCCCAGGTGTTTAGGTCTTCTTTAAGGTTCGGACGCCAAACTAGAGAACATTCGGACGTACAAGGGTCTTATAAAATTTTGAAAACAATTTAGGATATTGGACCCACTGTTCTTCTTATAAATCCAAGTACACTGCTAGTCTTATTTGCAAATTTGTTCACATGCAAGCTCCATGACAGATTTGAAGTAATGTGAATTCCAAGGTCCTTGACTTCACATACAGCTTTCAACTGGTTACCACATAAATGACATTGCAGAGGGCTCAAATTATCATTCTTTTTCAAAATACTCATCACTTCGCATTTACCAGTGTTAAATTCATGGCTCCAAGATTCCAGGCGAGTAAGATAATGCGAGTTAGATAATGTAATATGTAGTGTACATGTAACTTCTCTTTTCATTACACGATTTTTGGTATACTCGTTCAATTCCGCATGTTTTGCTCTGTATGGAATATCCCACTTCTAATACGAATAGATTGCTCTTAATACAAAACCGGAAGCCTATTCTTTCTCTTTTAGGGACGGACCATTAGAAAAATGATGAAGTGGTGGGACTTTTTCAGCTTTTTTTTTACGTCCACCCCCTCAACTTCCCTATGCCTTGTGCGAATTTTTTTGTTTGTTTGTTTGTTTTTTGGGGGGGAGGGGGAGGGGGATATTCTACTGTCGCAATCTTAATCTTGACACTCGCCACAATCTGATTGCCTAGAACAGGCTTCAAACAAATACTTTTTTATCTTTCACACAGTCGTTTTGATTTTCGGTCAAAATTATACTCCGAGGGAAACATAACCACGTATTGGACACATTTAAGTGCTATTGCCTAACTAATGGGGCTGCATTGCATTTTTTTTGTTTGATGTTTAGGGATATATCAATTTTATTTATTCATTCCCCTTGTAATAAATTTCATTTTTGGCATGCGGTGAATCAAGGTTTTAGCTAAGATTTTGTGAGTGGCTGCCTAGTAATAAATATGGGGCCAAACGGCCTATTCTGCTAGGGAGGTCTGGGGGCATGCATGCCTTCCCCCCTCCCTCCCCCCCGCTCCCCAGAAAATTTTGCAAACTGAAGCGTTTTTGGTGCGTTTTCCTAACCTGAAATCAAAGTACATTTAGAAATCTTCAATCTTCGCAGTTTTTTTGCTTGATTTTCAATTGTTTACTGAAAATCTGTTTTTGAGTGTGCTTTTGCTCATCCTATGATATTTTTTTTATCATATTTGGTTAAAAACAGTATGGATCGCGCCTCTGTGATATGCAAATTAGCTATGAAATGGTACCTAATGCGCATGTGCGCCAGCTGACTGTGTCCCCTCAAAATTACCAGCACGACTACTCTTTGAATTGGGCAAACCGAGGTCCGATTGCTGCTAATTTATCTCTAACAAATTTCGAGGTTAAAAACTTCAGTTACGTAATATATTCCGCATAAGTTCTGCAAATAACAAGATAATTACCGCAAAGGGGGTAGTGCCCAATTACGGTTGTTGTTAGATAGATGTGTTTGGACTCTTTGCTACGTGAAGGTGCGCCAATTATGTGATAAGTGCGCGCTTGGAGAGCCAATCAAACTCGAGAATTTTGTCATAGATAAGCGTATAAGATTACAGACAAAATCAATCGACAGCAGAGGATTCATAGAAATAAATTTAGCTCTTGCATTAATTCTTGAGAGGCTCGGTAGCCTCATGGTTAATGCGGTCGACTCGGGATCGAACGCTCGAGTGATCGAGCGGTCCGGGCTCGAGCCCTGGCCGATGACATTGTGTGGTGGTCTTGGGCAAGACACTCTACTCCCAAAGTGCCTCTCTCTCCACCCAGCTGTATAAATGGATACCGGCGAATTAAGTGCTGGGGGTAACCGTAGGATGGATTAATATCTCATCCAGGAAAGGAGTAGAAATCGTTAGCGGTTAACCCTATTCAGACCGCGCCTGTTTCGATCTTCTATGACCATGAGGGGAGGGGACGCGCAGTAGGCGTGCTTTTGGAGTCCCTCCCCTGCAATTGTTAGAGTATTTAAGCTATGGCGATGGAACTTGAATGATTAATATTATTATTTATTTTCTTTGAGGTTCTTTACTTAAAATGATGACGTCACATGAAGCACAAATGGAAGCATTATTTCTGAACAGCCGCCTTCTTGGATCGGCCATATTAAATTCAACGTAACCCTAAGGCTCAAACATAGTCACAAATAGTAAAGAAAGCTAACTTTATCTAGGAAGTAAAGTCACTGCAAAATGCAGGAAAATTTAAATTTGAAAATCATGCCTGCCAGAATACGGAAGCTTGATTGGAACATTGGACATAGTCACAGTTTGTAAAGAAAGCTAACTTCTGTAAGAAGTAAGGTCACTGCAAAACACAGGCAAATTTAAGTTTGAAAATCATGCCTGCCAAAATACGGAAACTTGATTGGCACATCAAGTTCCTCAACCCGTCACAAGCGATACCAAATTGTTTCCATATGGTAACGGCCTCAACCCTCCCTCCCCGCCCTTGCCAGCCCCCTCCATCCCCAGTGTTAATAGCGTTAAAGCCCTGGTGACCTTCTTTTCCTACAAAATTTTCTAAGTGCGGGCTTACAGGAGAGTTGGCATGCATTTCGTTAGCTGTTTGATTTTTTCTATAAAAATAAACTTCAACATGACCAAGTTAAACTTGCTATCTAATTCCTCTCGATGAAGTTTAAATGGATGAATAAAGGAGTACTCTTTATGCGGAAAATAAAGATACCAGAAAAACCTGCTGTCACTCACTCGGGGGTCGCCTCTCTTGCCTGGAATGTAGTAACCAGGGAGACGAGTGATGTTCTCGCTTAGTTCTAAGAGGCGACTGATGGTCGGTACAGCAATTTCTAGGAATACCTTTTGTTTATAAAACGTGTTTGACAGAATTGAAAACGCGTTGGCGTGCTTTTGAGGAATGTATAAAACGTCTGAGCGACTACCGAAGCATCTTAGTATTCCACCGCTGTTTTTCAGAAGAGTGTTTAAAAGATATTTTCCGTTTAGTTTCGTCTTCTTGACGGTAATATTTGCCACATCCCCAAGAGCTCTTCGACAATTTTCCAAGCCGTACCGACTCGCCCACCAGTACCATTCAGTGCTTGGGGATTCGTTAACAGGGTTAGACCGGATGGATGAGGATTCCCAAATCTTGCCACGGTCAAAATTCGGGAAGTTCCAATATTTAAGCAATACGTCATCGCTGATGTAGAAATAACCCTTATATCCTGGATATTTCCGTATGGCTCGACCAAGACACTCGTATCCCAGAAAGCCTCTGATGATGTCGACGTTGAGGATGTCTGAGCGCTCTGTATCGTCAGGCGGACCACAGAATAACAGATGAGGGAAGGCAGGTTTATACAGGGCAACCAGATGAGGTACACTGTCGTAGAAGGGATAATTGTAGACAACAACGAGCAAGACTTCCTTAAACGCGTTCTTTAAACAAGAGCTGCTAGTAGCCTTTTTGGGAGTTGGCTTTTTAGTAGTAATTTTTTTAGCAGGAGGCTCTTCTGTAGTCTGGTGGCTTTCATGTGGAACAGTTCTGTTTGTGACACGGTAATCGAGAGGTTTCCCCTCACTGGCATTTCTGGTAAGAGTGAAGCCTAATGGGAAAAACGGAGACAAAGAAAAGAGTTGTGGCACTACAGCGATTTGATGTGGGCATGCACTTTACGTTAGCACATAGATTCCATGTTGCCGTGCGTCTTTTAAGTAATAGATCACAGATATAAACGTAAAAAATGCGACGAGCGTGTCACTGATGTTCTTACCACATTACTAAACGTAACAGACGCTCGATAGTATTGTATCTATCTGTTTTATATAATAAAGAAACAAAAAAAAAGGTTAATGACGTCATCTATACGTCTGTCCTCCAATAGATCGTAAGAACTAATGAAAATGCGAGCATATTTTGATTTTTACATGTATAAAAAAATTAATAAACCGTTTGAAGGATAATGATCAGTTTGCATTCTCGTCCCGGTAAGAAGTCCACTTTCCTTTGATCTTCGCCCACAGGGCCTTGACACCGGAAAACCAGATAAAGGTAGCCATGGAAGCAACTTATTAGTTATCTGAAAACTTCGACTCGTAAATTTTACAACGACTGCCAATTTTGTTAGCTTTTGAAAACGTTATTCGTGCTAGTTTATTCTAAATTGAACTCGAAATCATATCATTATCAATATACTAATTACAAGTCAGGAGAAGTGCTGTGCATTAGGTTTCTGATCACTACTAGGTAGCATTATTATTCCTTTTTCTTACTCGTTACCAAAAGGTGGGTAAGGTGATGTTAAGTCTGGATATGAGCCAAGTGACTCATCAGGCCGAAGCTTCTCCCGGTTTCTGTAGCATGAAGCGACTAAGAGTATTTCTACTCCCCCCTAGATCGGATGCTAGTCCATCACAGGGAACAACCTCAGCATTAAAGTTGCGGGTACCCATTTATACACCTGGGTGGGGAGAGGCGCTGTCAGAGTAAAATGTCTTGCCCAGGAACACAATACAATGTTCCCAGTCAGGGCTCGAACCCGGACGGTTTGTACCGGAGGCCACTGCGCTGAAGACATTTAATGGTTAAAATATTATGATATCAGAATAAACCCTCACCTGAATAAGTGATAAGGATAAAAGTGGCTATCAACAATGCAAAATACAGTTGCTGTCTCCCGCAAGTATTTTTCTGCAAGTAAAGCAACACAACATTACCAAGTTAGCACTTTTCTTTCATCATTTCTACGTTTGAGCTGTCGTGATGTACATGTGAATTTTCCGTGACGAGAACGCCACCAAACAAAAGGTTTAATGAGCAAAGCAATGGCTGTGCGCGTGCGTTATAAATCTTTGTGCATTTCTTTGCCGTCCTCTGCAAAACAACGACGTGAAATGACCACGTTTTGCGTATTTTGGAGAACGCGAACGAGGGTGGCTAATTTTTGGTACTTCTATTTGCTATTGAACGCTAGCGTTACATATTTAGGTTGAGCAAATTCTGAGACCAATATGCGCACTGAACAGATCTAAACAACTGTGAAATTCGAAGGCAATGTTTTTTTTCTAGGCGCTGTCCTCGGGTTCGCCGTCGTCACTGCTTAAGCTCCCTTTTAATTTTGCTATGCTGTTTCTCGAAAATCTAATAAAAAATATTCATTTCATGTTGGTCAAGGAAATGCTGTATTCCTTCATTCGTTCGCCGGCGATCTTTTTTTTTAGTAACATTAGTAACTTTAGAATCAAAATTAGTGGCTTTCTCGTTCTCGTACCAGTTTTGAAATATGAAAGTCTCTTGATTTATGTTATTTTCTGATTGCGTGCATTCCGCTTTTCATGGGTAGTGCGCGCGCACTTCCAACATGGCATTGTACTTATGGCATGGTAATTAATATCTTCTTTCAACGGCTGTATTTGAACTTAAATTGCCTTCCTTGCCTTAATTGTCTTAATTTGCATTTTAAAATGTGTAACTTAAAATACACCACAAATATAGATACGAATCTTTGTCACTGAAAAGCTGTTTAATCAATAATTCTGACACTTCTGGCTTTCAACCTAAACTGCATCAAAAGGAAATGATATCGAAACGTTAGATAATCTGCAAACTGATTCGCGCCTCATTGCTCACTGTAGAGAACATTGAAGAAATATTGAAGAAACGGTAACAGTTGTTGAGGTTTTTGCACTTAAATAACTGCTTATTCTGCTCGAGATTTCCTTGCAAAATGTTATTTTTCTTGTTTTATATATCAACTCGTTCGTTATTCTTTGAGCACAAGGGGACGTACCTAGAATTTTTCCAAGAAAAGCACTTCCTCGATTCGATCTTAAAATTGAACTCACTTTATTCTCATCTACAGCTGTGTATATACTGCCAAATGTTTCCTGTTAATACAGACATCTATGACATTTATTTTGGTGAACAAAGGTTTTGATTTTTCGTTTTGTCAGGTTTTGCCTAGCAAATCAACTAGTTTTAGGGATAGCAGCTGTGAACGTCTAATAACATTCGCATGAACAATCTGAGCTCTTTGGTTCATAACACTAGGAGATATTTTTTGGTTCTTAATTGAGTTGTCTGAACAGAGTGTTGTAAGGGGGATTTTTAAAATCTGAGTGAAATTTCAGATATTGAGACGCCGTCTTAACACTGAAAAATTAAGATCAATTTCGAATTCAACTGATTCTAATGAACTATAGACCACAATATTTTTTTGCAGTGAAGGGCTTGAAATAAGGCTTCGAATTCTGCTGGGCGTGAGTTTGTGGGAAAGACCTTAATGGTTTTTAGATTATACCATGTTCGCACTTATTTCCTGCCGTCTAATTTTCGCGTTTTTCGCGAATTGACCAAAATCGCGAAATTAAGACTGGAGGAAGAATAAGAATAAATAAAATAAACCTCTTGACATTTGCGCGAGTGAAATATAATATCGCTCTTTTTTGTCTTCTTGAAAACGCAAATTATTGCCTAACCGAAATTTCAATTTAAGTAAATGCGAAATTACCTTGACACCATCCATCTGCTCTCTTAGGCTCGCCGGATCCAGCAAAAAAAGCGCCCATTAAACAAAACGATTTTTCGTCGGATATATTCTTTTTTTCACGACGAGTCCCAACCAGCTAAGTCCAGCTTATTGGCAAGCGTTTAATTACATGCAAGCGGGGAAATTGATGCCGAAACTTTTCAAGGAAGATGTCAATTGATTTACATAGAACATGTCCAATGTTAGTTTATTGCATCGTATATTGACGTCGAATTTATTAAGCGGCTTGAGGGATTTATTCAAGAGCTGTGTAATATTTGTTTTTGTATCAATATATCTACTGGCCTCCTATTATGAATGCCGTTCTCTGATTAGCTACGCTAATCGCTATCTATTCTGCTGTGAATAGTGAGTGGCTCAGCGGTGTGCGGTTGGTTTCGAAATTACTCTGCAGACTATTTACACGAAGTTTTGTACGACTAATAGATTCATACTAAAACAACAAGATTATTCGCTTTCCATTTGTAAGCGTGATAGAAATCTCTCGCTCATAAACTAATTGTTGAATGTATTAAAAGACAAAGAAATTTTCCAATTTATTTAACACATATAATGATATACATGAAAAAATGCTCAATTCTGATTGGCTGAGAGCAGTGCAGTTCAGGTGTAACATCGGTACAAAAAGTGTAACACCAATGCAAATTACACATCGTAATTTTGGATCATGATTGGCTGAAAGACAATACGAAATTTGCTAAGCCAATGATATCACGTAAAATGATGACGAAAATTTTGTGCGAAAACTTTGAGTTGAAAAAAATACTTCGAATGAAAAAAATGGCTTCAAGAAAGACATTCCAGCACTTCCTCCACGCAAATTTTTTCATGTTTATATTGTTAATAAGTAATCATACGCTTTTCCTCGTTCAATTTGGAAATAATTTGCACTTGTGAGTTTTTCGAAAAGCTGAAATTGCACTTGCCGAAGCGGCTCGTGTAATTTCAGCTTTTTGAAAAACTCACTCATGCAAATTAATTCCAAATTGAACTTGAAACCGAATGATTACCTTACTAACAATATTTATTTAGTCACGCACAAGTGATTGACTTTACATCATGTGATCAAACCAATGATTGCTCTAACCTCGTTCCCAGGGTCTCTCATCTGGAGCTGAACTCGAATGTCTGTAAATTTCAGTTCAAAGAGTGAAACTATTTAACAGGCTTATCAAAAATTTCAAATCTTATCTTAAATCGATTGTGCCTGTGGAACATTGATAGTCACTTGACAGCCATCAAAGCCGGCCAACACTTTGAAGAGGACGGCACTGGTTGGTCATCCGAGCCTGACAGTCTGAGCTCATGATTGAGGAAATCACTCGTTGTTTATTCTCAACGCTTCTCTCGTAGTCTGCTACAGAGCCCTCGTTTGTATGACCAGTGACGCCAATAATTGTGGGACGAGGTTGGTTGGCTATGGAAGCTTTGAGTTTCCTCGCCAGCGTTTTTCGTGCACTGTGGTTTGTGAGCCTTTTATCTTCAATCTCGGCCTGAACGGCCAAAGAGTCTTAATGGAATTAATGCTGTGGATCCCCATTCTCTGCCAATTGATACTTCGGGCGTTCAATCAGCGCGAGTTAAAATGGCTCAGTGCTTTTCATTACCTCGGGTCTGTGTGACGGTAACGTCGTCTGAAGCTTCACTGAACATCTTGGCCCACCTGTTGCAAGCATTTTCTGTTGAACCGCCCTTCTTTTCTTGCAAGTCCTCCCTGATGCGTTCTATTTCGTAGGATTTATTCGTATCTGATGTTCTCCACGCGATCAGTGTAGTCTTGAATAAAAGATCTTCGCGACTTACATGTCATGGTGCTCTTAGCGGCCTCGCAATTCGAAGTGCTACATCGGTGGTTACCGCCTTTAACGCGAGCTTCGACGCACGAGGACGTTTGTCCTAGCCCTGTTCCTTGTTCACGGAGGAAGCGAGCTTTCTCTTCGAGTACTTCACAACTATTGACAAACTCTCTGTCGTTGGCAATGGAAATGCTACTGCCTGCTTAGCTTCCTTTAAATGACGGTCCAGGGGCCCGTTTCTCGAAGGTCCCGAAAAGGTTCCGCACCCGGAACGTTAACTGACCCGAAGCAAAATCTCAAACCTTAAGATTACAGAGCTGTTTTATTCACATATTCTCAATATCAACAGAGGTTCCCTTCATACAAGAAGTTTCGCGCGTATACACCTCTCAGTTTTCAGATACAGAGAAATTAAAAATGGCTTTGCAGGCCCGAAAATTTTCCGGGGCTTTCGAGAAACGCGCCCTAGGGACGCTGCACACAAACTGTCTGGCTCTCAGTTCGAACCATCCTTCTTTCTCATCCCGGAGAAAAACTTCTCTAGTATCTCATTAAGTTCCCTGCCTTCGTAGCTTACAACATGATTTCTGGACTATTTCCTTTTTCTTCAGCCCATGTTGTCCAAACAATAACCCACCTATCAGTGTTTTTCTTCGTGTTCGCATTTTCCTTATTTCATTTTCAAATCAGGAAATATATGGGCCATTGTTTTAAATTATTTTAATTGCCACGGAAACTCTTTTTGTTCCAAATTTGGCTTTTAAAAATACTACTGGCTGACTCAGCCGCTTTCTATGCCCTCCCAAAGATACACAAACCTGGTTTACAGAAGTTACGTCCTAAAACCAGCTGTATCAATACACCAACCTACATTTTATTTTAATATTTGGTTGCCCACTGGTGAACAAAAACTACTCGGTAAAGAACAGCTCAGTGTTTGTCGATGTAGCAAATAAAATATCGAGAACAACAAATTGCAGAGGATGTTTTGTCGTGTTGTATTGTATTGAACTGTCTCTCTCTTCCAGAACGTACAGATTATTGTAACTAATAATATACATGAAAAAATTACTCGATTCTGATTGGCTGAGAGCAGTGCAGTTCAAGTGTAACACNTGTGGAACAGTTCTGTTTGTGACACGGTAATCGAGAGGTTTCCCCTCACTGGCATTTCTGGTAAGAGTGAAGCCTAATGGGAAAAACGGAGACAAAGAAAAGAGTTGTGGCACTACAGCGATTTGATGTGGGCATGCACTTTACGTTAGCACATAGATTCCATGTTGCCGTGCGTCTTTTAAGTAATAGATCACAGATATAAACGTAAAAAATGCGACGAGCGTGTCACTGATGTTCTTACCACATTACTAAACGTAACAGACGCTCGATAGTATTGTATCTATCTGTTTTATATAATAAAGAAACAAAAAAAAAGGTTAATGACGTCATCTATACGTCTGTCCTCCAATAGATCGTAAGAACTAATGAAAATGCGAGCATATTTTGATTTTTACATGTATAAAAAAATTAATAAACCGTTTGAAGGATAATGATCAGTTTGCATTCTCGTCCCGGTAAGAAGTCCACTTTCCTTTGATCTTCGCCCACAGGGCCTTGACACCGGAAAACCAGATAAAGGTAGCCATGGAAGCAACTTATTAGTTATCTGAAAACTTCGACTCGTAAATTTTACAACGACTGCCAATTTTGTTAGCTTTTGAAAACGTTATTCGTGCTAGTTTATTCTAAATTGAACTCGAAATCATATCATTATCAATATACTAATTACAAGTCAGGAGAAGTGCTGTGCATTAGGTTTCTGATCACTACTAGGTAGCATTATTATTCCTTTTTCTTACTCGTTACCAAAAGGTGGGTAAGGTGATGTTAAGTCTGGATATGAGCCAAGTGACTCATCAGGCCGAAGCTTCTCCCGGTTTCTGTAGCATGAAGCGACTAAGAGTATTTCTACTCCCCCCTAGATCGGATGCTAGTCCATCACAGGGAACAACCTCAGCATTAAAGTTGCGGGTACCCATTTATACACCTGGGTGGGGAGAGGCGCTGTCAGAGTAAAATGTCTTGCCCAGGAACACAATACAATGTTCCCAGTCAGGGCTCGAACCCGGACGGTTTGTACCGGAGGCCACTGCGCTGAAGACATTTAATGGTTAAAATATTATGATATCAGAATAAACCCTCACCTGAATAAGTGATAAGGATAAAAGTGGCTATCAACAATGCAAAATACAGTTGCTGTCTCCCGCAAGTATTTTTCTGCAAGTAAAGCAACACAACATTACCAAGTTAGCACTTTTCTTTCATCATTTCTACGTTTGAGCTGTCGTGATGTACATGTGAATTTTCCGTGACGAGAACGCCACCAAACAAAAGGTTTAATGAGCAAAGCAATGGCTGTGCGCGTGCGTTATAAATCTTTGTGCATTTCTTTGCCGTCCTCTGCAAAACAACGACGTGAAATGACCACGTTTTGCGTATTTTGGAGAACGCGAACGAGGGTGGCTAATTTTTGGTACTTCTATTTGCTATTGAACGCTAGCGTTACATATTTAGGTTGAGCAAATTCTGAGACCAATATGCGCACTGAACAGATCTAAACAACTGTGAAATTCGAAGGCAATGTTTTTTTTCTAGGCGCTGTCCTCGGGTTCGCCGTCGTCACTGCTTAAGCTCCCTTTTAATTTTGCTATGCTGTTTCTCGAAAATCTAATAAAAAATATTCATTTCATGTTGGTCAAGGAAATGCTGTATTCCTTCATTCGTTCGCCGGCGATCTTTTTTTTTAGTAACATTAGTAACTTTAGAATCAAAATTAGTGGCTTTCTCGTTCTCGTACCAGTTTTGAAATATGAAAGTCTCTTGATTTATGTTATTTTCTGATTGCGTGCATTCCGCTTTTCATGGGTAGTGCGCGCGCACTTCCAACATGGCATTGTACTTATGGCATGGTAATTAATATCTTCTTTCAACGGCTGTATTTGAACTTAAATTGCCTTCCTTGCCTTAATTGTCTTAATTTGCATTTTAAAATGTGTAACTTAAAATACACCACAAATATAGATACGAATCTTTGTCACTGAAAAGCTGTTTAATCAATAATTCTGACACTTCTGGCTTTCAACCTAAACTGCATCAAAAGGAAATGATATCGAAACGTTAGATAATCTGCAAACTGATTCGCGCCTCATTGCTCACTGTAGAGAACATTGAAGAAATATTGAAGAAACGGTAACAGTTGTTGAGGTTTTTGCACTTAAATAACTGCTTATTCTGCTCGAGATTTCCTTGCAAAATGTTATTTTTCTTGTTTTATATATCAACTCGTTCGTTATTCTTTGAGCACAAGGGGACGTACCTAGAATTTTTCCAAGAAAAGCACTTCCTCGATTCGATCTTAAAATTGAACTCACTTTATTCTCATCTACAGCTGTGTATATACTGCCAAATGTTTCCTGTTAATACAGACATCTATGACATTTATTTTGGTGAACAAAGGTTTTGATTTTTCGTTTTGTCAGGTTTTGCCTAGCAAATCAACTAGTTTTAGGGATAGCAGCTGTGAACGTCTAATAACATTCGCATGAACAATCTGAGCTCTTTGGTTCATAACACTAGGAGATATTTTTTGGTTCTTAATTGAGTTGTCTGAACAGAGTGTTGTAAGGGGGATTTTTAAAATCTGAGTGAAATTTCAGATATTGAGACGCCGTCTTAACACTGAAAAATTAAGATCAATTTCGAATTCAACTGATTCTAATGAACTATAGACCACAATATTTTTTTGCAGTGAAGGGCTTGAAATAAGGCTTCGAATTCTGCTGGGCGTGAGTTTGTGGGAAAGACCTTAATGGTTTTTAGATTATACCATGTTCGCACTTATTTCCTGCCGTCTAATTTTCGCGTTTTTCGCGAATTGACCAAAATCGCGAAATTAAGACTGGAGGAAGAATAAGAATAAATAAAATAAACCTCTTGACATTTGCGCGAGTGAAATATAATATCGCTCTTTTTTGTCTTCTTGAAAACGCAAATTATTGCCTAACCGAAATTTCAATTTAAGTAAATGCGAAATTACCTTGACACCATCCATCTGCTCTCTTAGGCTCGCCGGATCCAGCAAAAAAAGCGCCCATTAAACAAAACGATTTTTCGTCGGATATATTCTTTTTTTCACGACGAGTCCCAACCAGCTAAGTCCAGCTTATTGGCAAGCGTTTAATTACATGCAAGCGGGGAAATTGATGCCGAAACTTTTCAAGGAAGATGTCAATTGATTTACATAGAACATGTCCAATGTTAGTTTATTGCATCGTATATTGACGTCGAATTTATTAAGCGGCTTGAGGGATTTATTCAAGAGCTGTGTAATATTTGTTTTTGTATCAATATATCTACTGGCCTCCTATTATGAATGCCGTTCTCTGATTAGCTACGCTAATCGCTATCTATTCTGCTGTGAATAGTGAGTGGCTCAGCGGTGTGCGGTTGGTTTCGAAATTACTCTGCAGACTATTTACACGAAGTTTTGTACGACTAATAGATTCATACTAAAACAACAAGATTATTCGCTTTCCATTTGTAAGCGTGATAGAAATCTCTCGCTCATAAACTAATTGTTGAATGTATTAAAAGACAAAGAAATTTTCCAATTTATTTAACACATATAATGATATACATGAAAAAATGCTCAATTCTGATTGGCTGAGAGCAGTGCAGTTCAGGTGTAACATCGGTACAAAAAGTGTAACACCAATGCAAATTACACATCGTAATTTTGGATCATGATTGGCTGAAAGACAATACGAAATTTGCTAAGCCAATGATATCACGTAAAATGATGACGAAAATTTTGTGCGAAAACTTTGAGTTGAAAAAAATACTTCGAATGAAAAAAATGGCTTCAAGAAAGACATTCCAGCACTTCCTCCACGCAAATTTTTTCATGTTTATATTGTTAATAAGTAATCATACGCTTTTCCTCGTTCAATTTGGAAATAATTTGCACTTGTGAGTTTTTCGAAAAGCTGAAATTGCACTTGCCGAAGCGGCTCGTGTAATTTCAGCTTTTTGAAAAACTCACTCATGCAAATTAATTCCAAATTGAACTTGAAACCGAATGATTACCTTACTAACAATATTTATTTAGTCACGCACAAGTGATTGACTTTACATCATGTGATCAAACCAATGATTGCTCTAACCTCGTTCCCAGGGTCTCTCATCTGGAGCTGAACTCGAATGTCTGTAAATTTCAGTTCAAAGAGTGAAACTATTTAACAGGCTTATCAAAAATTTCAAATCTTATCTTAAATCGATTGTGCCTGTGGAACATTGATAGTCACTTGACAGCCATCAAAGCCGGCCAACACTTTGAAGAGGACGGCACTGGTTGGTCATCCGAGCCTGACAGTCTGAGCTCATGATTGAGGAAATCACTCGTTGTTTATTCTCAACGCTTCTCTCGTAGTCTGCTACAGAGCCCTCGTTTGTATGACCAGTGACGCCAATAATTGTGGGACGAGGTTGGTTGGCTATGGAAGCTTTGAGTTTCCTCGCCAGCGTTTTTCGTGCACTGTGGTTTGTGAGCCTTTTATCTTCAATCTCGGCCTGAACGGCCAAAGAGTCTTAATGGAATTAATGCTGTGGATCCCCATTCTCTGCCAATTGATACTTCGGGCGTTCAATCAGCGCGAGTTAAAATGGCTCAGTGCTTTTCATTACCTCGGGTCTGTGTGACGGTAACGTCGTCTGAAGCTTCACTGAACATCTTGGCCCACCTGTTGCAAGCATTTTCTGTTGAACCGCCCTTCTTTTCTTGCAAGTCCTCCCTGATGCGTTCTATTTCGTAGGATTTATTCGTATCTGATGTTCTCCACGCGATCAGTGTAGTCTTGAATAAAAGATCTTCGCGACTTACATGTCATGGTGCTCTTAGCGGCCTCGCAATTCGAAGTGCTACATCGGTGGTTACCGCCTTTAACGCGAGCTTCGACGCACGAGGACGTTTGTCCTAGCCCTGTTCCTTGTTCACGGAGGAAGCGAGCTTTCTCTTCGAGTACTTCACAACTATTGACAAACTCTCTGTCGTTGGCAATGGAAATGCTACTGCCTGCTTAGCTTCCTTTAAATGACGGTCCAGGGGCCCGTTTCTCGAAGGTCCCGAAAAGGTTCCGCACCCGGAACGTTAACTGACCCGAAGCAAAATCTCAAACCTTAAGATTACAGAGCTGTTTTATTCACATATTCTCAATATCAACAGAGGTTCCCTTCATACAAGAAGTTTCGCGCGTATACACCTCTCAGTTTTCAGATACAGAGAAATTAAAAATGGCTTTGCAGGCCCGAAAATTTTCCGGGGCTTTCGAGAAACGCGCCCTAGGGACGCTGCACACAAACTGTCTGGCTCTCAGTTCGAACCATCCTTCTTTCTCATCCCGGAGAAAAACTTCTCTAGTATCTCATTAAGTTCCCTGCCTTCGTAGCTTACAACATGATTTCTGGACTATTTCCTTTTTCTTCAGCCCATGTTGTCCAAACAATAACCCACCTATCAGTGTTTTTCTTCGTGTTCGCATTTTCCTTATTTCATTTTCAAATCAGGAAATATATGGGCCATTGTTTTAAATTATTTTAATTGCCACGGAAACTCTTTTTGTTCCAAATTTGGCTTTTAAAAATACTACTGGCTGACTCAGCCGCTTTCTATGCCCTCCCAAAGATACACAAACCTGGTTTACAGAAGTTACGTCCTAAAACCAGCTGTATCAATACACCAACCTACATTTTATTTTAATATTTGGTTGCCCACTGGTGAACAAAAACTACTCGGTAAAGAACAGCTCAGTGTTTGTCGATGTAGCAAATAAAATATCGAGAACAACAAATTGCAGAGGATGTTTTGTCGTGTTGTATTGTATTGAACTGTCTCTCTCTTCCAGAACGTACAGATTATTGTAACTAATAATATACATGAAAAAATTACTCGATTCTGATTGGCTGAGAGCAGTGCAGTTCAAGTGTAACACCCGTGCAAAAAAGTGTAACACCAGTGTGAATTACACATCTTAATTCTGGATTATGATTGGCTGAAAGACAATAGGAAATTTTCAAAGCCAATGATATTACGTAAAATGATAACGAATACGTTTTTTCTCGTTCAATTTGAAATTAATTAGCATTTGTGAGTTTTCAAAAAGCTGAAATTGCGCTCGCCGAAGCGGCTCGTGCAATTTCAGCTTTTTGAAAAACTCACTAGTGCAAATTAATTCCAAATTGAACTCGAAACCGTATGATAACCTATACAAACACTATGAAGTTGTAACAGCTTTTTCACTTAAAAAAAAAAAAAAAAAAAAAAAAACTGTTCGAATGTTGTTGTTTATAGCGGTCAACGCGCTTCGCTACGCCAAGTTAGTTGACAGGCATGCCACTTCAACTAAAAGAAACAAATATATCAACCAGACATAGAGGCCCAAAAATCCCAACTGGATGGAGGCAGACCAGTTGAATATTCACAAGCATCACCGACTAGGGCTCTATCGAGAAACAACTCCAGCTAAGTGTTCGGATTGGGACTTGAACCCGCGACCTCAGGATTTCAATTTCGGCGCGCTAACCACTCGGCTACGCTTCCTCCTCCTCACTTTTGAAAACGAGCATTGCCAGCAAACGTTCAGCTGTGCCATAGGGTCTCCTATAAGTGTCACAATCCTCCGTAGGAAAAAAGATGGCGACTGGTAAATTTACCCATAGTCAGTTTTAGCACACAAAAACTTTAACAACGCTCTCAAAAACGAACAGAAAAGTTCTAACATCTTCAAACTTAGCATACACTATGCCGTTAGCACCTGGACAAATACTGCAAAAATATGACTTTCCTTGTACTTTGTGGGCTGTGTAAGGTTCGCATGGTGCTCTCGTAAAATGTACAGCCGCCATCTTTATTCATGCAGAGGATTGGTGGCGTGGTTTAAATTACTTGCGTGGTTTGCGATGCACGTAAATTTATGGTGCAAAGCTATTATGAAACAAGCAAGTTCCGTCCGGCAAATTAATAAATCACCTGTACTCGAGTAGTCTGAACTAGTTTAGACAAAAGACTATGTGCCCTGTTAAACCATGTGGAAAGAAACGAGTATACGCATGTTTTTGACGTAGGAGACTGAATTAAGAAATCAGAAACTGATGTAGATTGTTTACACCCCCATATTTTTCGTTTTGATTGAAAAGTTCGACCGCTACTATCTTGGTTTATTACGATGGACGAGATCTGGGTAGAGTATAGCTTGTCCCTACCACGGGGA